GGCAGGGGCCTTGGTCTGGCCAGGTGTAAAGTCTGTTTACAGAAAAGTTTCAGACTTTTGGCTCCCGTGGTGCGGGCCGTATGAAACATCGCCTTGGCCTACTGACTGTGTTTGGACAGTCGGGACTCATCTGCTTTTGTATGACGGGCTCATTAAGATTCACATCCACCCAGAAGCCCTGGTCCAGCAGATTCAAGCAACTTCGACTGCTTTTGCTGCCATCCTGGAAGATGGATGGGTCCGTTGTGACTTGGGGCGATCCTGCATGGCGGTGACAGCAGCCAGGTGCGAGAGCAGTTGGTGCAGGCCCAGCAGATTCAAGCCACCCTGAGTGTTTTTGCTGCCATTTTGGCCGAGGGCTCTGTGATGACTGGGGCGATGGTGACTGGGCAGCTAGTTTGCGTCGGGCAGATCCAAGCAACTCAGGGTGCTGTTGCAGCCGTCCTGGAAGATGGGTCCGTTGTGACTTGGGGCCTTCATATATATGCCGGTGACAGCAGCCAGGCGCAAGAGCAGTTGGTGCAGGTCCGGCAGATTCAAGCAACCCAGCGCGCTTTTGCTGCCATCCTGGCCGACGGCTTTGTGGTGACTTGGGGCCATCCTGACTGGGGTGACAGCAGCCAGGCGCGAGGGCAGTTGGTGAGCGTCCAGCAGATCCAAGCAACTGCAAGCGCTTTTGCTGCCATCCTGGCCGACGGCTGTGTGGTGACTTGGGGCGATCCTAACCATGGCGGAGAAAGCAGTAGGATTCAGGATCAGTTTGGCTGCTTGTATGAGGTTTGCCTTGCTGATGTGAGAGTTCAGCGGTTCTATCGCGTGGAGAGCAGTTTGCCATGCTTTCCGCATTTGACAATACATCATGGAACACGGGGCAGATGTCTAATCCCCCACTTTCCCATTTGGCCAAAAATGTGACTTTGGGCCCGCAGTGGCATCCTTGGCTGTTTGGATCTTTGACCTTGATTTTGGTTGAACACCTGTATGGTTCCCGCGAATCCACCAAAAGTTCGGGGCTTTTTGGGGTGCGACGAGGCCCTGCATGGGTTTCGTTTGATTCGGCCGGGGATCGCCCCAGTTCAGTGGATTTCCTCTTTGTGATTCTAGTCACTCTCAGTCCGTAGATGGAAGACTTCCGCCCTTGTGTCATGCGCCATTTGACCCCCAGTTTAGTGCTTGTTTGTTTCTTACCAAATGTCCACAATGGTTGTTTTTCCTCCGTCCAAAAAACTATATTCCCCCAATTGTCAGCACCTGCTTGTGTGGCTCCTTGCGGCTCCTTGCGGCTCCTTGCGGCTCCTTGCGGCTCCTTGCGGCTCCTTGCGGCTCCTTGCGGCTCCTTGCGGCTCCTTGCGGCTCCTTGTGCCGAGAGGCAGCACTTCAATTCCTTGTTCGACAACGTGCCAGCGCAGAGCTGCTTGCCTGGCTTCAACAGCTACAAGGTCTGCCAGGCGCCCGTGGTGTGCACTTGCTACTTGGGTTTTCGTTCTTGGCAGGGGCATAGGCCTGTGTATGCACGAGAGTTTTGTTTTCGGCTCATCCCTGTGCTCAATTCCGCCAAGCCGCAAAGGGGAAGGGGAAACTAGCTGAGTAGCTCGGGCTTAGGGGGCATTTTTCTTCAGTCCTTGGCAGGTGACGAAAGCCAAGTGGCAGGGCCGTGATGAGAACGTGAGGCCAGGATGAACTGCTTGTGCCATTTTGAAAGTGTCGGTGACAGGCAGGAGAGTAAATTCTGCCGATCTTTGCCCAAGATTGTTGCTATGCATGTTGGTGCCCACGATCTACTGTTGTGGGGGCTGAGCCATCTACAGTCTTCTTGTCTGGCAGGGCTGAACTCAGGTTCGAAGACGATATCCTTGTGACGTTTGTTGCTTTTGGCTCGGCAATGACCCTCCCAGCAGTTCTGGAAGAAAGATATCAAGGGTTGAGTTGCCCGTGCTCACCTCGGGAGTAGCATCGGATGATGAGCTCGGGCCAGAGAAAGGCAACCGCTTTTTGTATCAGTGCATAAGACAGCGCAACAGGAGGGGTGTGTTTGTAGGACCTTGCCCAACTTTTTTCATCAAACCGTGTACCCCCCCCTACGCTTTTAGCAATTTCTTTAAAACAGCACCTCAAACAGCACATTTTCAAAAATCAAGATTTCAATCGAGGTAATTTCCTAGTCAGTTCATCCAACATTTTAAATTCAACATTGCAAAAACACTTTTTTCAGAGTTTTCAAAAGTATTCGCAAAATAATCTTCAAAAGAAGATTACATAATTTTCAAAACGCAATCAAAATATAAAATTTCAAAAAAAAACAACAACAACAAAAACACATAATTATATTTTCAATAAATATCAATACACATATTCAAAAAAGCTACATAGTTTTCAATAAAAAGTCCAAAAATAAATGTTCAATAAAATACATAATTTTCAAACAACAATGAAGAGTAATGTTTCAAAACAAGTCAAACATATACTTTCAAGAATGTATAATAAAACTATACTTTTCAAAGAAACTATTTTCAAAAAAAATAACAAAACAAAACATATATGTTCATTTTGTTTTTTATAATCAATAATTAGATTTAAAAAAGAAAATCAATAAATTTCTTCAAAAAATGCATTTTCAATCAAAGTCAACATGTCAATATATATCTTTTCAACAATATTTTTTCCAAACATATCATAAATATATTGTATAATGTTTTATCATAAATTTTGTAAACAAATGTTATGGGCAAGGTTAGGTTTATAGAATTTTGTAACTTAAGTTCAGGATAATAGTTTAGAAATTCATTTTCCATACATACATATTTATCGCCTTCCTTAAAAATCTTAGAATATTCTAATGTTTGTTCCTTTGGACTTTGATTTGTCCCTTATTTAACATATCACAGTGTTTTTTACGCTTGGTATCATAATCACCGCTGGGTCTGCCTATCCCTTTCTTTTCAAAAATCTTCTCAATCTTCTCCTTTTCTTCATTGTTGCTTTTTGGTGCGGTTTGTTTAGCATCTAATTTTTCATCAATGGTTTTAACAATTTCTGACAATGGTTTAACATTCTTACTAATAATTACAAGTTTTTTCATTAAATCGTTAATTGTAAAACTTTCATTTTCTGACATTTATATATATATATATAAATATTTATATATTTATTTATTTATTTATTTATTTATTTATGCGTTTGAAGTGGTGTTAACTCTACTCTTTTTATATTATTTTTCATCATTTCACGTATGGTTTCCTGTGTTTCGTTTCAGCAGTATCGGATGGGCTGATGTTTCTCCCAAAGCGTATAGCAATATTATGTGCGTCTGTTTCTAAATTTATATCACCGTCTTTGGTTTTATCAACATCCATTTTTTCAATCAGTTTTACTGACTTTAAAACCGATTGGCACACACGAACATTTGCAATTTCCCTTCTTCTGTATTTCAAAATTCGTTTGCCACTTCTATCATCTTTTTACACATAGGACAAGCAAACTCAATAACTGCTGTTTGATAAATAACTTCTTCGCTGTCTTCGTCTGTTGAAGAACCACTTAACCCTGTCTTATTCCTTTTGTTTTTCCTTCTTCCCATTTATATCAATATTTACATTTTTTTGATATATTGAATCCCTAACTTAATTAGTTCTAATGAATAATAGCATACTTTCTTACATCTGTTATCAGTTATTACAACTTGTTCTACTTTCTCTACTTCATCTATTATATTAATATAATCTGAATAACTTCTATTCATATAAATAATAGCACACATTATTATTAATCTTTTTATTTCATGCATCATAGAATTTTCGGGGCTCAGCAATAGGGGTTTGTATCAAAGTAATTATCTTCAATGCTTATGATTGAAGCAATGGAACACCTGTTCCATTATGTTATTCACCACCACTCATAACATAATGATGTTCCATTCAGTAAAAAATATAAATAACTTCTAAATATCTTTAATATCAACTATGACCGATGTTCCAATAATAAAACCAACAAACCTAACTGATTACGAGTTCACACAATCTAAGTATGAGCATGTGGCTAGAAGTATAATAGTTGCTTCTTCAACAGGCGGCAAGACTGTCCTTATTCAAATTTAATATTGAATGTTTATAGAAACTGATTTGCAAGAATATATATATATTTTTACCCAGTGTTCATAATGACCCTACATTTACAGAAGTTAAACAATGCATCAGGGATGAATTACATGTGGATGATGAAAAAGAGCAAATCTATTTTGACAGTTATAACCCAATTGAATTAAAAAATGTAATTGAAAGACAGAAGACAATTATTAACTATATGAAATCTAAGAAGATAAAGACACTACATTCAATATTAATCGTTATAGATGACCACGCAGACGACCCTAAATTCGTTAGATAGTAAATTGTTACACGGGCTTTTTACAAGAGGTAGGCATGATGCGGTAAGTGTAATTTGTTCGACTCAAAAAATACAATTTTAGCACCTATCATTCGTGTAAATTCCAGGTCACTGTATATATTTAGGTTGAAAAATGCCAGTGAATTAATGAGTTTTATTGAAGACAACTCCGCCATTGTTGATAAACAGCAACTTTTAGATATGTATGTATCACGAAGCGGTGAATGATGCACCTTATAGTTTCTTTTATGTAAACATGAATGCTAAAGATATTAACAATATGTTTCATATTAGATTTGAACATTCTTTTAAGATTACGAATGATGAATAAAAGAATTCTAATTTAATATAATATGGTATTGCAACTTTGCAGATGCAGTGGTTTTATCACAGAGGAGAATATAAGTTTCATTGTAATTCTTTGGATACATAAACTTTATAAAGTTTTAAAATGAAGACCAACAGACAATGAAGAATTATTAAGATTTCAAAGTCAATTTTGTTTCGCAGGATTTATTGAAGATATTGAAGCAATTAGCACTGCTTCAACAACTATGCCTAAAGATATAGTTTTACATGATGATACAAATTACTAATATTAATATGTTTTATTAATATTATGAATTTAAATAATTAGTAACTACATAAGTTCAAAGCAGGTCATATATAATATATCTTACTTTTTTGCATTCAATACCTTTCTCTAATTTATTAATTATTGCTTTCAATGAATATATTTGTAGAATATCAATTCTTGACATTTCACTTATCGTATTTTTTTTAAATCTATATCTCTTACTATTTTAATAGCCTCATCATCATCATCAATTTCCACCGGTTTTGATTTACTTGAACCCATTATATATATTATTATGTAGACTTTAATTTTTCAAAATTATCTTTTTGTTTTTCTTCTTCCTATTCTTCTTCTGCTTCTTCTTCATCTTCAGTTGGTGCTGGTATTTCATCTGGACTTTCTGATGAGGAACTATTAACTGTAATAGGTGGAGAACTATGAACGCTAATGGCTTGATTAGAAGAACTACAGCTACTTTGTGCATTTCCTGCTGTTATTTGATTGACTAAATCTGCGATATTTGTTGTTGCAATTGCGCTGTGTGATAAGTTTAATATTATATCTGCTACTGTAGCGCCAGTACGTAGCATTATTTCTATCATTTTTGTCAGTTTGAATCTTTTTTCTTCTTCGTCGCTGTCCTCCTCGTCTGGTGGTTTTTTTGGCGGTAGTTCTGGTGGTTTGTTGTTGTCAAGCATTGTAGTAAAGGCCAACACCATTGCATCGCGTTGGGTTTTCAGTGTTTATGTTGCTTGTGTTCTTGTTGGTTCATTTCTTTTGTATGTGTTGGGCCAGCAGTTTTGAAGCATTATTTTAAACATATTGTCTTGGTTTTCATTTACCTTAAACGCTTCAAATGTCACATTTAATGGTTGGTCTGCATCATTATATAACCTTTCTTGTGTCTCTCTGGTTTCTGTAGCAATAGTATCTGTGTTGGTTGCAATGTCAATAAATTTTCTCGGTATGCCCTTTTTCATCATTTTCGGTGGCTGTCTTGGTGGTGGTGGGTTTGGTTTCGTTAGGTTATGTATTGAGAAACTGTCGTCATCATCATATTTATCATTGAACTTCTGCTTCTTTCTTTTCAGTATGTTTTTTTGTCAATATAATCATTAAATATATGTATAGTTTATTATTTCTTACCCTTACCCCTAAAACTTGCCTTGAGTTCTTCCATTCTACCTTTGCTTAAATTTGCAATCTATCCTCCGTTGTCAATGGTGTCTAAAATCATATCTACTAAATATTCTTTGTATGTTCTCGCCTTGCCTCTGCCCTTGTGTTTCAATCCTTCCTGTATTTCGCTTTCTTCTGGCACTTGAACGCCTCTTAAATAGAATTGAACCTTAATATCATTTACTGTTAAATTAGGGTTTTCTTTCCAGTAAGCAGGACTAATATTATTATCCAGTGTTGTTTTGAATAATGGCATTCTCGGTAATGGTGGTGGTTCTTGTGGCGTTGAACTTGATGCTCCTGTTGCGTGTTGAATTGGTGGCGCTGCTCCATAAAAACTTTCATCAACCGCTTGTGACGATAATTCAATATCTTCTAATCCCATTGACTGTACATCATGTGCTGTTGTTGGCGGTGCTTGTGTTGGTGCTGATGGTGTCGATTGTCCATTGCCTAACATTGATTGAACACTTGTTCCGCCAATTTCTCGTAAGTTTGATGCCATTGCTTGACTCACTTCATTTACCCTTTCTTTTTTTGCTGTTGTTAGTTCTTGCAGTCTTGTATCTACCACTGCCTCGTGCTGTCTTGATGTTTCCAGTGGTGTTGAAAAATCATATTCTTCTGATATTGCTTCTGTGTTTCTGGTTAATCGTGCCTATGAACTGCATAAGTGTGCCGTTTCTACGTGCTTCCTGCTTCATCATTAGTTCTCTCATTTGCCTGTCTAATATTCTCATCTGTTGGTCTTTCAATAATTCTAAGTGGTCGCTTCCATCAAAAAAACTACCCTGAGGACTTGCCTTAAGAAATGTAGCATCTCTGTTAGGTAGTGTTCCTGTTAATTGTTGATTCTCGCCTATTAGACCTACAATTTCTTCATATGTGGGGCGTCTCTTGAGTCCAAATTTTGAGTATGGATTTATCAATTCTAAACTTTGGGTTGTTGCCATATTTATTATAATAATAGTTAGATTATTTATATTAGTATGATAAGTTTTAAGTAAATGTTAATTTTTCCAGCTCCTTAATCCGCTTTTCCAAATGCTTCTTTGTTGAATGTGGTAGATTTGGTCGGCGTAGTTCCATTGTTAATCTGTCTAATTCGTTTTGATAATTTGATCTGGCGTGTCCTTCTTGAATGTGTTTTCTAAATGCTACTGATGCTTCTTGTGAATTTCATAATTTCATTTGTTCGTGTAGGCGAACTACCGGGCACGGGAAAATGATATATATATCTGTCAAAAAATGGTTGATAAAATTTATATGGTAATTTTTATTTGTCCTACTAATAAAATATTACAGGCATTTCAAGGTGAAGCAATGACAATAAATAAATTCTTTGGTATTAATTATGGAGATGCTAAATTAGAACCATTTGATTTTACAGATTATGATGTTATAGTATTTGACGAAGTTTATTTTAGTATTTTAAGCCCATACTGGAGAAGAAAACAATTTGTAGAACAGAATAAGCACAACACAATTCTAATAGCAACAGGAGGCACCAAGCAATTATAACCAGTTCAAGAAATAACAAACACTCAAGGCTATGAAATATGCACTGACAATATTATAGATACTATTTTTAATCCAAATATTTTATTAAAGGAATGTAAAAGACTTAACACACAGGAAGATAAAGATAAGCTTCAAAATATCAAGTATTTTTTTTTTTATAAATATTGAGAACATTATTGAAGCATATTTTGAATATACAACTGACATAAGCAATTCTAAAAATATTATAGCATTTTTGAATACAACATGTAAGAATGTATCAAATGAAGTTAGAAAATTAGAAAATCGAAAGGGCAAATATGAAGTAGGATAATTTTTAATATGTAGGGAATATACTAAAACAAAACCATCAGTTTTTTTTAAATGTAAATTTTCATTTCAAATATAGAATTGTTCATATCGGAAGCGATGGCATTTTTACATTAAACAATGGTAAAACTGAAATTCTACAGTCTTTTCCGGTTGACAAAATAAGAAGCAGTTTTATATTTGCTTATTGTTCTACATGTCATTCTGCTCAAGGTAGTAGCATTGATGACACCGTAACAATTTTGATTATAACCAATTTTTGGTGAATAATTTTCCATAATGGATATGGACAGCAAGTACAAGGTATAGAGATTTAAACAAAGTCAAATTTGATAAATATACGAAAGATATTGATGATGTATTTAATCCAAAAAGTATTATGAGTTATTTTGAAAGGACAGTTTTAAAAGACAAGGAACAGGACAGGAAAGCAAAAATAACCATACCTAAAGAAGGTTATGTAAATGCTCAATGGTTTTTCAGACAATATAAATAATCAATGCAATTACTGCGGATGCGGTTTTTCTATTGAAATGAAACATGGTAATATAATGACAAATCTAACAGCACAAAGGAAATCGATCGAGCGACCGCACGAATTGACTAATATAATTCCATACTGTAAGCGATGCAATTGTTGTTGTAAGTAAAACATACTTGCAGAATGTTTAAAAATGTTTAGTAGTGTTTAGTAATGGTCAAAACCAAAAATTGCCAAAATGGAGAGATATATCGAATTGTAGATAATGCATATACAATGTGCTACATAGGTTCTACTATTGATAAGCTGTCAAATCGCCTTAACTCTCATAAATCCAAATATAAGAAGTATTTTTTAAGAAGACATAATCATACAACAGTGTATGACATACTTGATACATTTGGCATAGACAAAGGTAAAATCGAAGAAATCGAAAAATATCCTTGCAATGATAAACATGTGCTGTTTGCAAGAGAGGGACAGCATATCAAAAATACTGACTGCGTTAGTAAAGTTATAGCGGGTAGAACCATACAAGAATATAGAGAGGACAACAGCGACAAACTAAATGAATACCATAAAAATTGGACTGAAAATAACAAGGAACACAACAGTATACGAAGGAATACAACGAACAAAACAAAGAACAAATTAAAGAACTAGGAGAACAATGGCGAGAAAACAACAAAGACAAGAAACAGCAACAAGACAAATATTATCGGGAAAAGAACAAAGAAAGGTTGAAGGAATATTTTAAAGATTATAAACAACTACATAAGGAGACAAGAAAGCAGTATAAGCAACACAAATACCCCTGTGAATGCGGAGCAGTTCTATGTTTAGGTTCAAAGCCAGAACACCAGAAAACGAGAGAACATGAAAACTACTTAAAATCAATAGAACAACGAAACACAGAACAAACAGAACAAACAGAACAAACAGAACAAACAGAACAAACAGAACAAACAACTGAACAAAACAAACCATTTGAACTACATAAAAGCAAACCTTTAATACCTTAAAAACGAATAAACCTAACCTTGCTCATAATAATTGTTTACAAAATGTATGATAAACCTTTTTCCAATCTATTTGCATTTTTTTTTGTAAAAATATTTTTTGTTTTTAAAAAATATTCCGTTTTTTTATTTGCTTTTTGAAAAGTATATATTATTTTTTGGAAATATAACTTTTCACCCTTTGTTGATTTTTTTTTGCACATTTTGAATTTAACATGCTGGATGAACTGACTAGGAAATCACCTCGTTTTAAAATGTTGCTAAAAGCGTAGGGGGGGGGGTACACGGTTTGATGATGAAAAAGTTGGGCAAGGTCCTACTACTACTGTGTGGGGGGGGGGGGGCAACACTTGCCTGAGTATCATACGTCGATGACCGCAACCGCAACTGACTATGTTTGTTCATACTGATTGATCCGCGTCGTTTGGGATCAATGACTGCATCGTACTGTGGATGGACAAACTGCTGCACCACTTCGAAACCATGGAAACCCATTGTTTGTTGGTATTTACAGGGGAATCATCATTCCAGGGTTTCCTGGTACAACCATTCCATGCGGATCGCGTTTGCTTGTTGCAGAACTCAATCAATCTCGCAGCTCCGCGGCTTCCTCAGAGCCGTCGTTTCGCCAGGCGCATCCGCAGCGGCCCGGAGCTTATGCAGCAGCTGGCGCGGATTCCCAGAGGATGCAATCAGCGAAAAGGGAACTCGTGTACCAGGAGAGCAAACATGGGCTCATCTTTGTCGCTCATTGATTCCGGCAACGGGCTCCGTGAACATGAAGGATGGCGGAACTCTCTATGAAGCTGCCTTCCTTACATAACGCTTTCTTTGGGGAATTGCTTCACGAATTGCGAGAGGAATGATGAAACGACAGAGCCCAACAAAAGGTTTCTCTAGCCACAGCAGTTCGCAACACATGATTGCGCAGGCTGAGCAGTGTGGGGGGCTACCGCGCCAGGAGTCGAAACTCGAGCGGGGGTCAATGAGGTGGCTGGAATGAGCTGGACTGGGCAACGGGCTCAGGAGCTAGGAACTGGGCTGAAGCTGGCCGCAGGGCGGTCTGGGCTGGCGCGTGCCTCGTTCATTTCCGGGCTCAGCGATGGCTGGGGGCTGGGTGAAGGCCGCGAACTGACTCCGCGGACGCGGGCAGTTGGAGATGCGAAGTCTGGGGCCAGGTGAAGGCCGCAGGAACTAGGGGGCTCGCTTCAGGGCTGAGTCACGCGGGGCGGACCTCCCTGAGGGCCAAGGCGACCTTTCATGCAAAATTGCCCGCGCCATCAGAAAGGAGACGCCACCGCGAATCTTCCTGGAAAGAAGTGCCCATACTTCATGGCATCGTTGGCTGGCTTGGCTTGGAATGAGACCATCGAAGAGATGACTTTCAGCGCTGAACTTGTGCCTGCGGTGCAGTCTTCTTGGGGCATCAGCATTTCCAATGTGGCTGCCTTTGCGCATAGCAGATGTGTTTTGGATCGTCAGGCTCTAGGTGCATACCAGATTCTTTGTCGCGCATACCTTTGCAAACTCTTGCTTGGGTCATCATTCTTTCAATACCGTTTCTCTCCAAGCCAAATGCAGAAACGAGTGCTTTTTGTGATCAAAGACGCGACATGCAAGAAGCTATAGGGGCGCCGTGATGAATCGAGTCATGTGCGTTCCGTTTGGCTGAGCTATTTAGGTGATTCTACCGGTTGTCCGCGTATTTCGTGGATTCCTCAGTAGGCCAGCGATGAGGCATCTGATGATGCGGCCAGTTTGTCTGTTCTCGTGTGCTGCAGCACCATCGGCTCAACCACGGCGTGGTGCATCGTGTTTAATTGTGTTGAGCGCATCTAACACATTTTTGGCCAGCACAAAGACCAATCAGTAAGAACAGGCGACAGCATGGCCACGTGGCTGCTTGCAGGATCCTCAAGTCAGGTACCACGGTTGCAGTCGCTATGGCATCTCCACCCTGCATACATCCCAACCTGGCATCGAGCTGGAAGCCGGCCGCAAGCCTAGTAGAAGTGCACAGATGTTTGTGGACAGTTTTCAGGCTTCCATTTGCGGGCCAACTCAACATGTCGTTGCTGCCTATCGCTTTTCCGGACTGACAGGATTGTATGCAGTTTAGGGTTAATTCCCTGCTTTCCCTGCAATCAGACATTTCCGACATGCTGCAATTCCGACATGCTGTAGACTCGAGTGGTTTCCAATTTCTTCACTTTTGGTGGATTTGGTTTGTACGCTTAGGTCTCCCCAGATGTAGTGAAGCCCACGCTTCTGTTGGAGGATGACAAGGCAGGTGAATTTTCTTGGGACTGGGTTGAACTGGGGTTGTTTTTCTTTGGGGTTTATCAAAGTCGGAAACATGGCATCAAAGCTGCGGCTTGTCAACCTGAAGTTGTTTGCTAAATGTTTTATTCAAGCCTACGGGAATGACTCAGATGGCAAGATGAGGCCAGTCGAACCAGGGAAGCTGGTGGAGTCCCCTTAATCCGTTGCCAATGGGTGAAGTGATTCACGGGCTTAGGTTCTGCTAATCCTTCACTGCTGTTGCTGTTCAGCCCCTCTCAAGGTCTAACCTCAGCCATTTCAGATCTGGGCTTCCGCTGCCCATGTGCAAGAGTTTTGAGTGCAGATCGGGATGCGTGGGCCTGGCGCCGAGCGAGCCCTGAAACCTACAAGGAGCCGCAGTTCGCCCCGGATCCCAAGAAGGTGCTGACGGGGGATTCCTTGGAGGCCATCCTTGTAAGGAGAGACCAGGAGTTGTCGCAGATGCTGGAGGAGACAGGGGCCAGGGAGTGATCAGACAGCCAAGAGAGTAAGGTATAGCGTAGGAATCCTGCCAACGAACTACCAATGTGTGTTGGCAATGACTCGTGCTTTGCCTGGGTAAGGAGGGCCTTGGGTTCGCGACAAATAGCTTCTCCTTCGCGAGAACGTTGCGCTTCTGCCGAAACATCTAAAGGCATGATCCGGTGAAAGCATTTGTCACTAGATCATAGGACTTGTCTATGCCTGAAATATGATCTCAGGAAGGTCTACAAAACAGCCTTGTTCCCTCGTGGCAATCCAAAAACAGTTGTGCGAAACTGAGGATTCGCAGAGGTTCGGCGAAACCAGCACAAAGCAATACTAAGTCAGGTAGGATTTGCTTTGAGCGCAGTTGTCTAAATTGATCACTGCCTTGCACCAATGGAGTCTTTCATGGAAGGCGTTTTGGGGCGGGCCGAGACCTTTTTCTCGGAGAAGCCTGACTGGGCTTTTGAGCTTTTGAGACAGGATTGGATGGAGCGTTTGCAGAACTTGCTCAACAAAAAGAGTGAGATTGCTGGGATGCCCAGATATGCAGCACGTGCTTGGCGCATGGTTTCCAGCCTCTCAGCCACTGCCTGCTGCCAATGCTGAAGTGTATGACAATGTTTGACAATTCTTCCGCAAAGTGCCTCATGCTGAGGCTAATCGCCAAGTTGATAGGCAAACATCAGCCGAACTTGAGGCTGCTAGACAGAACCGGTACACATCGGACAATCAATTGCGATGGTGGTGCCTTTGGGGCAGCTTAAGGCGTCACTGGAAGGCCCAATTGGCCTCTCATGAGAGTGGTGCATGTTGCCCAGCCATCGGTACTGACCGAAGAGGCAGTGATCGAACAATCATTAGCCTTTTGGCATTCGTTGGCTGGAGAGAGGTCGTTTCCCGGCGAGGCCAATGCACATGTCGATGTGGGTGCGGTGTGTGGGCCTCTTTGCCTGATTCTTTCCCAGGTGGACTCAGCACATCTTCCGCCCCCGCCACCGAAGAAGCGGGACTCCCATAAGGTCACCGTGCGGGTGAGGAGCGCGCCCGTGGGGCATATCTATGTTGCTATATTGCTGGGGATGTTGCCAGGGGCTGCAGTGATACCCTCATATCACAGGTTTTAATGTTGAGGGCATGGCCCCATGTTTTTCCGTGCAAAGGCCGCCAGGCAGTTTGTTCCAACAAATACCCCGCGTGTTTGTGTGCAGACGGGTGTGTGGGCGGGCGCTCGGAGCAGGCGAGTGTGCACACGGGCGTGCATCTGGATGTGCGGGCGCATGTGCCCGCCTGCTCATCGGCACGCGCGCTCTTAGGCATAGTGATAGGCACATAACCTGCGCCTATGTTTGAGCATGCGGATTGAATATAATTATCCAATGGACTTGTTTGTCAGCTTTTCTGGCAAGTTTGCATCGTGCTCCTTTTCTCTGTGGCCGTAGTTTGCGTGCTCTCATGCTTTTGTCTCCGCCAGGACCTCAGAGTTTGTCTTCTCTGGAGCACCAGGAGCAGCAGAGGCCGGCAGTGCTCAGTTTCACCGGTGTCGGCAAGGTTCTCCGGCCTGTAGTCATCAAGAAGTCATGAGCGGAGATTTTGTGTGAACAAGGCAAGCTTGCATTTTCTCGGAGCTCCCCCCAAGTTTCATGCAGATTGTGACTTGGCCTGTTGTAGTTGCTGGGCGCATGCTGCCTTTGGTTTGTTTTGACATTGGCTGCAACCGGTTGAGTAAGTTTGCCATGTAAGCTAGGTCTATGGCTCTCACAAGTCCTGTCTGGATACTGGCATTTGTTGAATGAATCCCAAAAAGCTTTCAGCGACATGTTGCTTCAACCGCTAGCAACTGATGTGACCAGCATCTCCATTTTGTAGCACGCTGAAATCGCTCTCTCCTGTTTGTTGGAACCGTGATAGTTGCAATTCACAAGAACGCATGTCCCTACTCTATTTATATATATATACACATGGTATGGATCTACATTTTCTGAATTAACTGGTATTTGCAGCAGCGTTTTCTGCCTTTTCTTGTGCTTTGGGGAAAGCAGCAAAAAGAGGTATTTCTAAGCTGAATTTTGATCAGACGATGCAACAAGTATATTGGAGCCAAAAGGACAGAAGCAAAAACGTTGAAAAAAAAGGTAGAAATTCTACAGACTTTTGAGAAAGGGCCGACTTTTGAAAATTACTTTCCCTCCAGACTGCGAAATTCAAATTACTTGCCCCAGGAACCCGCCCCCCCCCCCCCCCCCAAGGCCTTTGCGGGACACCTTAAAAATTAAAACAAATCCGTTACTGCGTTAGTGCTCTTCCCCAAAAAAAAGTTAGTGCTCCCCGCGACACTCTTGGAACGAAAAAAGGAAGGAAGAAAGCACAGACAGAAGGTTGGTGGGAAGGGCAGACGGAGAGGAGGGAGGGGGGAGGGGGTTGCTGCGGGCTGGATGTCTGTGTGAGAGGGTTCTGAAACTGGCGGGGCTGGGAGGTTTGGGTGAGGGCCGCAGGTAAGGAGGAGGTTTGGGGGGAGGGAGGGCTGGATGGGTGAGGGCAGCCCGGTTGGCAGGGGGAGGCTGAAAGAGAAGGGAGGCGCTGTGAATGGGAAGGCTCTGGCTTACGCTGGGGGGAGGTTGACTGGGAGGGGGTGTTTTGGGAAGCAGCAGCGCGACCAAGCCAAACAGAAAGGAAGGACGGAAAGGTAATGTTGCAACAGCCCACGCTGATCCGTCGTGTTGTGTGTGCCTATTGAACTTTCCCACTGTATCTGGGCTAATAAGTCATAGTCCAAATACTCTTTCAATCGCTCTATTTCAAGGTCCCCGGAGCTATCCCCCAAGATGCAGAAGGAGTAATTTAGGTTTCAGACCTGCACGGGTACCTATTTTTTTAAAAAAGCAAAGTTGCTTGTTTTTCGTGGTGCTTTTTTGTGTGCCCCTATTTGTGCTCACTGTTAGTGGTCCGGGGCCATCCCCAATGTAGAATTCTGAAGCCAAGAGCCCAAACGTAAGTGAACATGTAAAACAAGTAAACGTGTAAAACGGGTAAACAAGTAGAATATTTCAGTCCACGATCAGAGCAATTCACTTCAGGACCGTGGATTGACATGTTTTACCATTATTTTGTAACTTTGTCTTTTAATTGTTGGGCCGTTGGCTCCATTTTTTGTTGGAAAACACCATTTTGTTTAGGCTCCACCATTTTGCTATTGGCTCCGTAATTCTACTTTGAATTGTTGTTACTTTTTGTTTTTCACAATTTTTGTCTGTTTTACTTTTTTACTTTTGGGTCATTGGCTCCAGAATTGTGCAATTTGCTTTTGTTACGTTTGGTGCATTGGCTGCAGAATTTTACCCTTTTGTCACATTTTGGCCTGTTTGCTTGTGGCTCCAATATAGCTTTTTTTTTTGCATCTTCTGACCACGCCGCAGCTTAGAAAATAGGACAGAGGTAGATCCAGACCGACTGAAATTTCACTTGGGCCTGGATTCAAGAATTCCTGGACAAGTTTGGAGCCTGAAGCTTTCAGATTGTTTTTTTTGGTGGGATGTTTTACTGTTTCTTGGAATTGAAGAGTAATTCGATAAGGGTTTAAGCACATTGCAATTGGAATCCTGGTCTCAAACTAGATTTGAGAGAGGATTTCCCAGGATTCTGTTTTTAATTTAGATAGAACTTAATAACGAACGACTGTCAGAAGAGTTTCTAGTTTTAAATATACATTGCAAAGAAGCTTTGTAGTCACAATGCTGAAGCTAGAAAATAGACTTAAAGCACATATTTGATCAGATTTAGATAAGGACATATTTATGGAGGGCGGGTCGGCATGGGGGCTGTTTTTCAGATTCCTGGGGGCTGAGTTTTTCAGATTCCTGGGGGCTGAGTTTTTCAGATTCTTGGGGGCTGAGTTTTTCCATTAAAAACACTGAAAAATACCAAAAATATAAGATCAAGACCCGTGCCCTCTTAGATTTATTGGGGTGCGTTTTTTTGTTTGTTTTTTTTGGCTGATGACATGCAAGCACAGATTCATTTTCGATCCAATGAAGACTCAGATGCATCCATACCTGGAAAATGAGCTAGCTTCAATCTGCACAGAAGACAGCCTGTTGAGAACTATTTTGCACAAATATCATTGTTGGACACAAATATTTAGCAAACGTGTGTCTGTAGCTTATTTTTGGATAATTGGCATGCTTACGCATGCCAAGTTTATAAACCTCAGGGTGCTAACTTTTGGAAGACATATGTTTGGCACAAATCTTCAACACAAGTTGCATACGTATGCAATATTTTGGAAGACGTATGCTTAGCAATCTGCAAGCAGATGTATGTTTAGGACAAATATTATTGTTGTGTTGCAATTCTGAAACACGTCAGTGTGGCAAGCACAGCTTGCCACGCATATGAAATCATAAGAAAAGTAAGATATCGCTGATCTATGCAGCTTTCAGCTGCAAGACTCAGCTCTTTTTACAGTTGGATGTTCAATATTTTTCAATATACGCATGGGCTCTGCCCATGCTCTTGAGAAAAGACAGCTAACACAAACATATTTATCGCATAATGAGCTGGAGCAATTGGAGCACAGCTCCAATTTAGTTGCTTGAGCTCAAGAAGCACAAGATGCAAAGATGAGCACCTGCAACGATATCTGCAGATGCAAATAACATTCTCTGCATACAGCTGTTCAGCTTTGGAATAAGAGCTTTGGAATAAGATTCTCTCCAGCTATTCGTGTTGCTGAAGAGCTCTTGCAACAGCAAAGCTGTTCAGAATAGATTCAAGTAGACACAAGCCACAAGCAATTGCTTGTGATGAGGTGTTACCTGCAGAAGATGAAATGAGAGATGGGATAAATTATCTCCAGTTACCTGGGGTTACCTGCAGAATATCTTGGAAGAGGCTTATGTTCTGTTGATACACATCTCATCATACTATTGATGTCTTGCATCAAGAAAGCTTGCATCAAGAAAGCATCAACAAAGTATTGTCTTCAGATGATGGGCTGTGTGTTTTGTTTTTTGTTTTTTTGGTTTTCTTGGTGTTTATGAGCAAAGGCACCCAAAAAACCAAAAAACCAGACCCATGGCCCTGAACTAGCAGATGCAGATGATGGGCTGTGTTTTTTTGGTTTTTTGTTTTTTAGTTTTCTTGGTTTTCTTGGTGTTTATGAGCAAAGGCACCAAAAAACAACAACAAAAAAACAGACCCATGGCCCTGAACTAGCAGATACAGATGATGGGCTGTGTTTTTTGGTTTTTTTTTGGTTTTTTGGTTTTCTTGAATTTCTTGGTGTTTATGAGCAAGGGCACCAAAAAACCAAAAAAAACAAAAAAACAAAAAACCAGACCCATGGCCCTGAACTAGCAGATGCAGATGATGGGCTGTTTTTTTTTGTTTTTTCGTTTTTTTTTCCCGTTTTTTTTTGGGTTTTTGTTTTTTGCTGAAAAAACTCAGCCCCCAGGAATCTGAAAACCTCAGCCCCCAGGAATCTGAAAAAAACTCAGCCCCCATGACGACCCCTTCTGTATTTATAGTAGACATTTTGGCTTTAAAGAGACTTTAACGAGGCTTGTTAAAAGACGGATATTGAATGGAAATCGTATTTCATTTAGATGTTAAATAAGTGCTTTTTTTCCATCAATACTTTTCATTTGTCTAGTTATAATTTGAATATACTTTGAACTGAACAATTCCTAATGGCATGTCTAGAGTTAAAGTTGATTTTGCAAACGACTTCCTTTGTAAAGACGGTGTTTAATTGGGATTCCTACTTCAAGTTAGATTTTTAAAGAGGATTCTGAGGATGTCTTTTGTCAATTTTTCGATTCGTACGACACACATCTAGAATGATTTCTATCTTTAAAGAGAATGTAAATAGGATTCTTTTTCACATAAACTATCCATTTTTAAGAAGGGGGTTTTTCTTGCTTGGGATGAGCTGATGCTGGTCAAGTCGCATGACACAGTCCAAATAGAACAGCTGCATTCCGTTTGTAAAAAAAACCTTCACACAGCAATATGGTGGACCCGGGGGGCGTGGGGGTGCATACTTGTACAAAATATATATATATATATCTATTTGTCTATCTCCCTTTGCCCGTCTGTATATGTACATACACACACATGACTTCCGTCTGTATAGGTTTGCTCAGTGTCATGGTCCCTTCTGTCTTCTTGACTTGGACGCTCGGTCGGCTGATTGTAGCCCACCGAAATGCATGGGGAGTGGGGACGCTAAATGAAATGGGAGAGGGGTGGGGAGGGTGTGCTCTGGGCGTTGCCCGTGCATCCTTTGCTGGAGCCCACCCTTGCAAGATGAATGAATGTACCCGAAAATCTGGCGTATCCCACGTTCTAGTATATGAGTTCTGTTTGGGACGTACGCCCTTGTGTGTGTGTGTGTGTGCATGCAAGCGTGCGTTTGTGCGCGGGCGTGCGTGCGGGCGGGCGGGCGGGCGGCCGGGCGGGTGTGTGGGCGAGCGGGCGTGCGGGCTTACAGCAGTGCGCATGCCCGTGGGCATGTGCCCGCGCGCGTAAGAGTGTGCGTGCGTGGGTGGGGTGTGTTTGTATGTCTTTGAGTCTGTGTGCTTGTTTGTTTGTTTGTTTGTGTGTGAGCCGCTGTGCTGCTGCTGTTTTTCGTGGCAGCAGCTACCAAGATCATGAATGAATGAATGATTGATTGTATTCCAGCAGCTTGATACACATGTAAGGACGGCGAATCGTCCCAAGCTATTTGGCCATGTGGCAAACCCGGGACGATCCTCTGTGCAAAGCCGTGTATGCTGAACAACAGTGCGGTGCTGCCTCTTGCGCTCCAAGGCTTGAATCTGAGTTGCGCTCCATGGCTGTTGTCGCGTCTGATCCAACACTTGTGCCAACTCGCTGCGTTTTCTCTCAACCTGGCCTCGGCGAGCAGAGCAGAAGCGCCTTCTTTTAACTCAACGTGAAGTCCTGCGGTGGGATGCGACTGGGGAATTCAGCATCTTGGCACTTGCGTACCAGACAAGAAGACGAGCAGGTAGATGTAGGGACAGTTACAATCCTGCCCAACAAGCGCTTTCACATTCTGATGGAACACTGAGACTGAGACTGCAGTGTTGAATATGTTTGCTTTGCTTTTGCTTGTGACAGTAGAACATGTTGGGAAGTATGTAATGTATTGTAATGAAATGCAGTGTATGTATGTATGTATGTATGTATGTATGTATGTATGTATGTATGTATGTATGTATGTACGCATGTATGATGTATGTATGTAATGTAATGCAATGTAATGTAATGTACTGCAATGTAATGTAATGTAATGCAATGTGATGAAAGGTAATGTAATGGAATGCAATGTCAGGTAATGTAATGTAATGTAAGGTAATGTAATGTAAGTATTTCTGTATTTAGGCATGTAATGTATGTAATGAACGTACTGTATGTAATGTATGTAGTGTCTGTAATGTATGAATACATAGTATGTAATGTATGTAATGTATGTATGTAATTTATGTGATGTATGTAATGTATGTAATGTATGTAATGTATGTAATGTATGTAATGTATGTAATGTATGTAATGTATGTAATGTATGTAATGTATGTAATGTATGTATGTAATGTATGTATGTATGTATGTATGTAATGTATGTATGTATGTATGTATGTATGTATGTATGTATGTATGTATGTATGTATGTGTATGTAATGTATGTATGTATGTATGTATGTATGTATGTATGTATGTATGTATGTATGTATGTATGTATGTATGTATGTATGTATGTATGTATGTATGTATGTATGTATGTATGTATGTATGTATGTATGTATGTATGTATGTATGTATGTATGTATGTATGTATGTATGTATGTATGTATGTATGTATGTATGTATGTATGTATGTATGTATGTATGTATGTATGTATGTATGTATGTAATGTAATGTATGTATGTGTATGTATGTATGTATGTATGTATGTATGTATGTATGTATGTATGTAATGTATGTATGTATGTATGTAATGTAATGTAATGTAATGTATGTATGTATGTATGTATGTATGTATGTATGTATGTATGTATGTATGTATGTATGTATGTATGTATGTATGTATGTATGTATGTATGTATGTATGTATGTATGTATGTATGTATGTATGTATGTATGTATGTATGTATGTATGTATGTATGTAATGTATGTATGTATGTATGTATGTATGTATGTATGTATGTATGTATGTATGTATGTATGTATGTATGTATGTATGTATGTATGTATGTATGTATGTATGTATGTATGTATGTATGTATGTATGTATGTATGTATGTATGTATGTATGTATGTATGTATGTATGTATGTATGTATGTATGTATGTATGTAATGTAATGTAATGTAATGTAATGTAATGTAATGTAATGTATGTAATGTATGTATGTATGTATGTATGTATGTATGTATGTATGTATGTATGTATGTATGTATGTATGTATGTATGTATGTATGTAATGTATGTATGTATGTATGTATGTAATGTATGTATGTATGTATGTATGTATGTATGTATGTATGTATGTATGTATGTATGTATGTATGTATGTATGTATGTATGTATGTATGTATGTATGTATGTATGTATGTATGTATGTATGTATGTATGTATGTATGTATGTATGTATGTATGTATGTGTATGTGTATGTATGTATGTATATGTATGTATGTATGTATGTATGTATGTATGTATGTATGTATGTATGTATGTATGTATGTATGTATGTATGTATGTATGTATGTATGTATGTATGTATGTATGTATGTATGTATGTATGTATGTATATATATATAATATGTATATATATATATATATTCATGTATGTTGCAGGTCCTATCCCTCCCTCCCTTATCCATGCTCATGGCACCCAATGTGGTGTGGAGTGGTAGGTTTTGAGTTAGTTGATTGGTAGACTCGGCTTAGAGTTGTTTTGAGGGGGCTGGTGGACGATGGGTTCAGAATCGTTTTTAAGGGAGAATTGAGGATGGGAGTTGGCGCGCTTGTGGTCCGGTACAGAAATGATTTAGGATCGGTTTGGGGAGCTCGGGTGTGTAGCTTCGTTTCGGGATAGGCTGAGGGTGTTGCGTTGCTTCGGTGCCGATCCTGGGGTTGCCTGCAGGGTGCCATTTCGGGGGGCGAACAGGGGATAGGGGCAATGCGCAAGGAGCACCAGGGACCGCTAAGCATCCCAGAGGAGGTCTCCTTTGTTGAGGACAAGGCCAGGACACGCAACCTAGGGGCAATACGAGGAACATTTGTGGCTGATGGGTTTGTTCAATGCGAAAAGGCGTTTGACATGGCCTTTGAACCGGTTGCTGTCAATGCAAAGCACTTCTCATCTCACAGCAGGTGCCAGGCATAGACTGCTCCAGACTCATACTGCCCCAGTTTGCCCAGGTTGTACGTGAACTCTGCCCTTTCAACATCAAGGTCGAAAAGAGGGATCCAGAGGAGCTGGTTTGAAGAATTTGCCGAGAGCAGGACATGTTTCGCTTGCAGCAGGCTAAGCCAAGCTGAGCAAGGATCTTTGGCGTAGCATGTGCGAGAGGCAATTTACTCCAGGCTATTTATGCTGTGGCTATATATATATATATATATGTATATATATATGTATATATATATATATATATATATGTATTTTATGACGCATATCGTGCGCGCGCTGTGTGTGTGTGGAACGTCCGTCGTGCGCTAATTACTGAGTTCGAAAGATGAAAGCAACGCATTCGAGATATTCTGGGAGAGGAGGAGATGTGGTTCAATAATTTATTTGCAAAAAGCACGGCAAATGTTGCCGAGTTTTTGCATTCGGCAATGCAATATTGACTACAAGTCCAGGCAACCGAAGACAAGCGTTCTCAACACACACTGTTGACGACGAAAGATACTGAGCGAAGGCCAGAGAGCTCTTTTCGAAAGACCGCTGCCTAGAGGGTGCATGCAGCTTGAACCTGCACTGGTTGTTTGCTATTTGCCACGCATGGCACAATCATGTGATTTTGAGAAATGTGAAAGATGTGCTTTTGCCATCGGCTATGTTTGGCTAGATCAATCACACACCACGGGAATGGTGGAGCAAAGTTAGCCCTTGCCACCCAAAAACTGTCTTTGAGTTGCTTCAAGGAGGGGAACTTCCACTACTTCCATCGACTGCTGCAAGACCTGGTCTCTTCTTGGGCCTTCGAGATGCTGTTCGCGGCGGTCATCGTGGCACTGGCATGGACCCGACACCCTCGTTGGCATACTCGCTGTGTTGTGTTTGTTGTTTCCCACCAACTGATTCAGCTTTGGGGTCGCCCAAATAGCTCTATGATTCGGAGCTTTCAGGGCGGGTGTCCGAGTTTCAGAGGAATCCGCTGTCGGGGATTGGCTGATGATTTCTTTTCTGAATGGGAGCAAAGTTTCTCGACAGGTTTGAGGCGTGTCAGGGGTTTGTTGCAGTCCTGAGACTGCATAGGATATTTGTGTTGCTTGTGAGACGAGGTTACAAAGCCAGAAGGGCCTGCTAACAGTCACCTGATATGTGGCACAATAATGACTGTGTGTGCGCCTCTCGACGCCCCGCCCTTCGCCAAGCTTGCCTACTGCTTGATTGCTTGCTGGCTCACATGCATGTTCGATGTTGGGATGCCTCGAACGACGCTCGACGCACAATTTGCGTTTCAATTTTGCAACGACCATGTTGAATGCCAGGTCACCAATAGCATTTTCATCGCCGTGCAAGTGGAGGTGGCTGCTTCTTCAGAGGGTGCTGACTCCAGTCCCGCCTTCTTTATGCCATCCGGCTGAATTTTGATTGTGCGCCGTCGAATGCATGTGTGATTCGTGATCAGTTCCAGTGGATGACTGAGACTTGTTTCACATTGTTTCGCACATACACGTGAGCAGTTTGCAGTTTGTTATGCTACGCAGAGAGATGCCACCCGAGGGGTCCTATCTAGCAGTTGTATTCAGCCATCGCTCGTGAGATATCTGACGCAAAGATGGATTTGGGATGGTGAACTTCTGCAGAAACCCTGAGCGGCCCAGGCAACAGGAAAAGTGCACCAAAACACCTGTGAGCAGACGTTTTGGCTCAAGCTTCCTTGCCCCGGCGAATGCACAACTAGTGGCTGTGGGGGCCGCACAGCCTATGTCGGATCTCCGTTTCGGAAGCCTTCCATTGGCGCGCTCGCCAACCACAGGTCTCACATTCGTGGAGGTTTCAGGGGCCGGCGAAACGCGGAATGCCCTGAGCCTCGGTCTGTTCTTTGAAGGCCTGGTTTCGGAGGTTCCAGTACAGTAATCGGAGAGTCTGACGCAGCTGCCAAAGTGGCCACCTACCTGATGCGCGAGAGGGTTGATGCCAAGCGGCAGGAAGCCAAACTGCACGCCCAGCCGCGCGTGACGCGGCAGCAAGGGTTCACTGTGACTTTCGAAGCCGTGGATGACTTTCAGAGTGCTTACGAGCCCTCGCGAGTTCTCTACAGCTCTTCTAACTCAAGAGGAAGCTGAGCTGACCGACTTGTCATTTTGTGCCAAGTGATCGAGCGCAAAAAAATGCTGCTCGAGAGCCGCCAACCATTCCCCCAACTCATTTGACACGCTCTTTGATGACATGCGACAACTCCCCTGATGTGTGGAGGTTCCAAAGGAGTGTCAAACCATACAGGTTCCCGGATGGCTGGCTTCTATCCTTCCATGGCAGGGCAGACATGCGGAGGGCAGAATGCTTAGATTGCACTCAATGCCATGAGATGCTTGTAAGCCAGCGGGAGCCAGACTTCACCTTGTTGGGCGTTTTTATTAACAATCTTGATCCAATCCCAAGACAGGGCAGATTCCGTGTTTGAAACAGAATCAACCTGAGCCGCCGACCAAGGATTGCCTCTGTTTACACCTTTCTCTTCACTTCAGAGCTGCTTCTGCGCATCGTGGCCCGGGGGCCGCGAATCTTCTGCGGCGAAGACTGGGCCTGGATGATCCTTGCACCACGGCGAAGTTCGTGCGAACCGGATGTTGCCTCTTGCTCTGTGCGCCGAAAGAGGGGTTCTCAATCAATGGGGCAATCCAGCTGGAGTCTAGAGGTTCTCAAAATTGACCGTGCATGCCGCCTGGCAACCTGGTTGCTTTCTGCTCCCGTCCCTTTGTCTGTCGAAGCCTTTTGCCAAATCCTTCTGTTCTGTAAGTTCCTTTCCGGACTGAAGGAAGGCTTCATTCTTGCAGGCGGAGCGATCAGATACACCGCTTTTGATGCACGTGTCTCCAGAAACGTGAGTCAACCTCGCAGCATTTGCCTTCCCCGAAGTGCCGAAGTCTTAGTCTTGAACAAGTTGGATTGGGTTCGATCCCAGGGTCGTTTGGTTCTCCAGTGCTGGGGACATCGGTAGCCGAAGCTGTGTGGAAGGACCTGCGACTTAGAATCTTGGACGTTCGGTGACCTCTTTGGACGCCAGACTTGCCTTGGAGATGAGACACCCCCCTCAAACGCTTTTTTTTTGCGACATATCCACTTGCACTTCACGCTTGGTTGCTTCGAGGATTTGCTGATTGTGATCTCCAGTGTCTTTGAGTTCGTGATCGAGGCTTGATACACCCCAGCCGCGTAGTTGTTGTCAGGGGCCTATGAAAAGGGGCCCCCAATCCCAATAGGGGATCATAGCAACAACATTTCCAGCGGGTTTGTCTTTGGGGGGCTCCTGACCACGGGATGCATGGCAATCCTGCACCAGAAATGCCCGACGTGCAGACCCCCGAACTAGTGCAGAATATGCCCCAGTTTTCCAGAAGACATTTTAGGCTCGATCGCAACGTTCCCAGGTTCAGAGCAGACAGTTTTCGGCCAACTGGCTTTTCTCGCGCAAGTGAAGCAATGTATCGGATGTTTACCTTGCATTCTACATATTTGATTTTTGATGCTGGCTTGCCAGCAGCGCGGACCAGGGTTGCCTGCCAGGTGCTTGTGCAGACCAATGAAGAGGGCAACCAAAGCAACGTGCTGACCAACATGCGGTGGCTTGGTCATGCAGCTCTTCACTGAACGTTACCATCCTTTCATCCGTTGGTGTTCCTAAGGGGCAGCGTTGCAGGTTTCCTAGAAGGAAGACTATCAGATAAAAGGGCCTGGTGACATGACTTGTGGCTCGCTTGAAGGGGCAACCCACTCAGAAATGGTTGCTAAGCACAACATGTTCCACGCAAAGCCAGATTGTATCATGGCACACAGCCCCACAAACACAGAAGCCGATGGCAGTTTTTTCAAAAAGTGGCTAGTTGGAAGGACTTCCTCTCGGAAGTGGCGCTTGCCGTGAGGCTTCTCCGCATTTTGCGCATTGCCAAGATCACCCGAGCCTTTCGCATTGTACGCTTGGTTCGTTTTATCCGGTCACTGCGAACCTTGCTTCTATGTGCCTTGGCAGCATGCAATCCAACAAAGTTCTTTCCTTCCTTTGCGTGCTTCACTTTTTTCTGAAACGCATATTTGAATGGCAGTTTTAGCAAGAGCAACCTGACCACACTTACGTGGCAGCAAGAGTTTTCATTTTGTGAATGTATGGTCAGGGCGTCAATGTTCTATTTGCGGATGACGTCAGGTGTTGTTTCTTCAGGTGCCCTGCAGAATGGACACCCTTTCTCCATTCCAAACAGGGTAAGGTGGCACTTGGTTCAACTGACGCAACTTGCGTGTGCCATACGCTAACATTGGCACTGGAGACTTGGCCAAGGCATCGGCCGGACGCTGAGGGCCATGGCCTGGTCGGGAGTTCTGCTTGGGCTGATCATCTTCCTCTTTGGCCTCATCTTTACGGACATTTGCAGCTTGGTTTCATTGAGAACATCCAACAAACCAATTAGTTGGCATGGGTTGATGTACGACAGGAAGAAACCGCCGAAAGGTGCGGGGCTTTTTGTCAATGAGTATGTCATGCAAGAAACGGGAGGGGGGGGGATTCCGTGATGTGGGTTTAGGAAGGTTTCGACTTCGAGTTTCTAGCCGTGAGGGGCTGGCAGGCAATGCACTTCTGCAAAGAATCGTCAGCACGTCTCAACTTTGAGTGCTTGTGTTTGGGCTTGATATATTTTGTCATGGCCCTCAAGTAGCCTATGAATATCAGTTGAACGACTCTGCCACCTGGTTTCCAGCTGAGGCACTGAGTATCTTGCCAGGGAAGCAGCAGAGCAGGATGCAGCAGCTGCAGCTTTCCTAGCAGTCCGCTGTGGCTTCTCAGCTCAATGTGGAAACGCAAGGCGGCCGCAATCACCTGGGTAGAGGAAGGTCAGTAAGGGACAATCCCAGCCATAAATGGGTGCAGCCACCTTTTTGCTTCTTTTCATGGTTCTGGGTGGACCATTTAATACCAGGTTTTGATGATGACTCTACGTCGGGGCTCGGGACGGGCAGAGTTGGTCACTGTCCAACGCCCGACGTAACCCTTCCCATTTGCCACTGAAAGCTCCGCATCCCTCTGACTCGATAGCTTTGAGTGGCCGTAAAGGCGCTCAAGCCATTCAGCCTCGTGAGCAGTGCTTTGACAGGTTCGTTGGAGGAGTCCATGCACACCTTGCAACCTGGCAAGCTCGACAGCGCAGAGATGCCAATGTTTCGGAGATTCAAAGACATCACCTTTTGGCATGATGTCACCCACACTCTAGAACTCTTCAGCAGGAAACTCAAAAGCACAACAGAAGTTGTGGACACATTGGCAACGACAGGGAGACTGAGCGGGATTGCCACGGGCAGGGTGCTTGATGTGTGTCGAGTCCTCACAATGTTGCCTTGATTCAACTGCACGGCATACCTGCGGAACACATCCGGAGACCAAGGCCAGCATATTACAGGGCATCTTGCTTTGTAGTTGGGTTGGAAGGGCCATCAAATTGGAATTTGGTGGGTTCCTTTTGCCTTTCGGTGAGGTATGCCTCAATCACCGGCGGCCTAACTTGGGTCGAAGCCCGCGACGCCTTTCAGAAGATCTCGCCACTTTGGGGCGCGCCGTGGGGTGGGTTTCGGATTGAAGGGGACGGAAGAGAGACCACAGATGTCAGAGAACTTCTTTCTCAGATAGGATCCTGCGAGAAGCCAGCAAGAAGCTAGCAAAAACAAGCAAGCACCCTGCAAGAATGAAGCGGTGTGCAGTCAAAAACCCAGCAGCAATCTAGAGTACGGGTCCAGGCATGAGCAAACAGAAGTGTCGGAGGCAGATCTCCATCAGAATGCAGGGACCTGGTGACTG